GGAAGAAACGGAGCTTTTACTCTAGCGCTAAAGGTGCTTGCAGGGCTCTGGGAGGAGCCTGTGATTTCCCTGGTGCTTCGCTATTGCTGCTGGAACAGCTGTTGTAAGCTGCTGCATCTATTTACTGCCTGCGATATTACTCTTCTGTTCAGCTGCTGAGTATCGTTAATGGAAAACAAAATGGGGGAGCAACAGTGTTCTTTCCTAAATACCCTCTTTCAGTTGTCCAAAGATTTATGCTGCAGTTGAGCTGTTCTCTGGAAGCTAAACCAGCACAAAACTTCCTTTTTACTTCATAGGGTGAATTTTCTGCCTTAGATTCCTGAATTCATTCCCGTTTTGCTGGAGATTTCTCCTTACTTTGGTTGCAACACAAAACCTTGCTCTCCAGCAAAGGGTGTACAAATGGGATGGCAGTGCTAGAAGGTCTCCTTACTCTCCTGCTTGCCTGCCAGAGGGTCAGATATTGATCTGGCATGTGCTAAGGATATATTTAGTGTATTCTGATGACAGGCTTGAGCAGTTATTGAGTGAGTTCTCTGTAAAATGAAGCCCTCACTAAAGTGATAGAAAGCCTTTTGCGTTGCAAGCGTGTAAATGACAATGTATCACTTACGGTCTCTCATTTTCTCTGTTTGAAGACTTTCCATTGTACGGGGAGCATCTGGAAGCAGATGTTCCCACAAAGAGAAACAAATACACTTGGGAAGGAGCCTCTCAGGGGGTCAGTGACCTTGACCACCTAACATGTTTTCAAATATGGCTGTTTTTGTTTGCACTAGGTAGTGAAGGACTGTTCAACAGCTAAAAAGCTGAAATGCCTTAGTAGCGTATTTCTGCTGTGTAGAAAGAAAAACAATAAAGCTAGGGACTGGCCTGTATTTGAACATTACAAAGTGTGCTGCATTGGGCATAAAAGATAGGGTTTCAGTAGCAGGGTGCTGCAGAAGTGCCCTGCGTAGGAGGAGGCCATGAACTGCCAGTTCCAGCCAGCTCTGAAACAGATGGCAGCAACCCATTGTGTGCCAAAATTTCAGCCACTCGGAGAAGCGTATGGTACCTCTGCTCAAACATACTTAAGAAAGAGTGGTTGCCACTAGGGAGACAGGGGACACAAAAAGGAGACATATGAGAAGAGACACGAAAGGACATACATGAGGCTACATGGGAGGATGCACGTGAAGGCATTAAAAAAGGAGACACAAAAAGGTGACATGGGGCAGGCGGGACGTGAGAGGAGATGTGCGTGAGGAGGATGTGAGGAGATAATGCAAGGACATACAAAAGGAGACACGTGAGGAGATATGTGAAGAGAAGCGTCTGGAGAAAAGGAGGGAAGTGGAGGAGGCACGTGGCAGGGATGTTGTTGGGGACGCAGCTGGAGACACGCTCTTGCCGGGAGGCGCTCCATGCCAGGAGGTATACCTCTGAGGGACACCCTCACCAGGGTGGGGACATTCCCAAAGGACTACGACCGATGCTGGGACAAGGACACCCTTGAGGGGCTGTGTGGGCGACCCATGCTGGAGCAGGGACCCCTCCTGGGGGACTGCAGCCCATGGAGAGCCCACGCTGGAGCAGGTACAGCCCTGAAGAGCTGCAGCCCGTGGAGGAGCCCATGCGGGAGCAAAGGAGCAGTAAGAAGCAAGGAGCAGTGGAAGAAAAGTAAGAAGCAAGTGGCAGCAGAAAGAAACCATTACGCACCGATCCCAACCTCCTATGCCACCTGTCACCTCACCGAAGAAACTGGGAGGGACTGTGTGTAACACATGGCAAACATAGGGGTAGCTGAGCCTGGGAAGGGGGATGAGAGGCGTTGGACTGAGGTTGTACCTGGGGAAGGAGGAGGATGGGTGTTTTCCTGAGAGTTTGTTTAATTCTTTGTCTTCTTGTTTTCTCAATACCTATGTCAGTAATTAAAGGTTAATGGTAACTGGTAATAAATTAAGTGGGATTCCCTGAGCCGAGACTGTTCTGCCCCTTCCAGCGCACTCATTACGCTTTGATGTGAGTTTAGTTTTAGCTAGGACATGGCCAAACAGTACCAACCCCATATGGGTATAGTCTTCTGGGTAGAATTTCGCTTCTCCGCATGTGCGGGCAGTAGCTGGCACACCCCCGAGGCGCTGTGCCTGCACTGTGGCGTTTCACAAAGCACAGCTTTCTGGAGGAGGGCCAGGCGCAGCTGGCTGCACGTACGAGGAGCTGGGATCTTTGAACAACCAGGTTGTGTGAGCAAAAGCTGCAGTATAGGTGCAGTCTTATTTGCGGACCCTCGTATTCGGGCTATTAACATTTCCTTGTGGGGCAGGACTGAAGTTAACTATTGCTGTTGAAGTGCTGGTTTTGGAAGATGGAGTTGTAGGTATAGCTGCCTCTTCCCCCAGTCCCAAGCTGTTTGCTGGTGCGGTGCTACCAGCCTAGCAGTAGCTATCCCGAGTGCCCCAGGTGTAATATGGTGAAAAATCTCCCTCCCTCTCTCGCTTGCTCCTCTTCCTTACAAGCATAAGTAGACTCATAGAAAAGAGCCAGAACCGGAGAGGAGAGGGAAGAGTCTTGCCGTTTCTTTCCACAACAGGGAAAGAAAGCCTGTTTTCCTTTGACAGTCTCACGGGAAGCAAAGGATACAGAGAGGAAGGGGAGCCAAGCTGGTCCCAAGCGCTCTGGTGCCTGGTGCTGTCAGGTGGATGGTGTGTCATTTCCTACAGGTAGCGGTCAAAAGATGTGTCGAAAGGTCACAGGATTACGGACATGGCTTTTGTTCAGATGGAGGAAGAACTGAGAGATGGACCACAAAAGTTTTTTTTTTTCCCCCCTCACTGAAATATGGTTAATCTAAAATGGAAAATTCTGTTCTGTTATTAAGCGGACCTGTAGCTCTCTGTAGCAGGCGTAATGTAGCTCTCTATTACGTTCTGTACATTTTTAGTTTGTCTCATAAAACTCTTCTAATTTTACTGTTGGATTATATTGATTTTATTTCTTTTAAAATCTCCAAATTGTACCACAAGGGAAACAGGGGTTAAGGCAAGGAAGACGTTAAAATGTTTTGCATCTCTCAGGCAATTTCATATCAATATTTTTTTTTCTTTAGAGAGCGTATTCTTTGTGAAACTTTACTGTTTTTCATTATTAAAAGCCTAGCGCCACTTAGACTGTGCAGGCTCTGAGGAAGGCATTGGTGCGTCAGGCACAGCTCCCTTCGATTAGACCGTGCGTTGCAGGAGCCTGACGCACCTTATTTCAGGCTGTTACAGAGCAGTTGGACTTTCTGGGAGCTAAATTCAGCTCTGCTCTTCCATCTGCTGCAACATATCTCTTTATGGTAAATCTACACTTTGGACTTGAGGGAACTAAACTTGGTGGCTGGCCAGAGCATTCACGCAAGGCTGGTAAGAGCAGAAATAGCACTGTGAATCCCAGGCTGACTGCCTGACAGGAGGGTATATAGGCGTCCTCCTACGCTTGAGCACGCTGCTGGAGAAGGCTGGCTCTGGGGGTGGGATGTGTGGGCAAGTGGGTGAAGGTGTCTCTTAAAGACCAAAGCACTGCTGTACTGAAGGATTAACAATGCTAATGTCTGTTTCTCTTTCATAGAGTGTGGTTTCAAATGGTGAAAGAAGGAAAAATGGGCTTTTTCAGTGCAGGAAAGTGTTAAGTATTTTAAGCGTAGAGGCCTAAATATAAAATGAAGAGCACTGGCAAGAACTGAGGTGCAGTGTGAAGCAACATAGTAAACACTATCATGTTGTGGAGCTTTGTAGCAAGACATGGGACACAGATTAGTTATCGAGGAATAAATGGAAGGGAAAGAAGTACCAGTCCGTGTTTCTAGGAGCTGAGGCCTCTTGACAGGAAGAGATGGCAGCGCTGGGATTTTAGATGAGTGTTCAGTTTTGGGGAAGGATGGGTGGTTCTCCTTTTGGGACACAAACATCTCAAAAGCAGCTGTTCCGTGCATTGTCCGGTGCCAAAGATCTAAGACTGTTAGTGTGGCAGCAAACTGGAGGACAAAGAAGAATCCAAATTCATTGTCTCCAGGATTATTCTTGTATCTGTCTAATTTGAAAATAGTGGCCTGATGAAGGTAAAATGGGACAACCGCTGTATTTGCTTACCAGTGACAAGTAGAGTATACGTCCAGGGAAGCGAGGGTCAGTCTTGGTTTGTGCTAAACAGGAGAGGCTTGTCCTTGTTTTGCGTTGGAGGGAGAGCAATCTGAGCATGGGCTGTGGTTTCCGATGAGGGCCTGCCGGCCCTGTGACAAGACGGAGAAGCCAGGAGGCTGCTGTTGAAATGACCAAAGGGGACGACTGAAGCATGCTGGGATGGGGGGGAGTAAGGCGAGTTCAGCACGCGGGTACTGCCGTAGTCGGGTACTGTGGCTAGTGGTGCGTTGCCTTGCGTGTCAATGTCACTGTCTTTTTCTTCTCTCCTGCCCTTCAGATCACGACATTTGTCTTGGGAGAGCAGGCTCCGACGGGAGCGAGGATGCTCAGGATGCCCAGCTGCCTGCTAAAACTCACCAGAGTGATGCTGAACCACAGGCTGGGGGCCCTGTTTATCATCGCCTTTAAGTTCTTGTCCTTTGCCTCCATCCTGTTGTACTGGAGAATCACGGAGGACCCAAAGGGCAGGGGCCAGGTCTACAGCTTGCCTATTGAGATCCGCTGTGCTCGCTCTGTGCCGTCTCCTCCCCGTGCCACTGCTGGCCCCCCTCCTCCCCCAGGGGACGTGTTTTTTGTGGAAACCTCGGAGCGAACCAACCCAAATTACCTGTTCATGTGCTCCGTGGAATCGGCAGCCCGGACACACCCTGGGACGAGGGTTGTGGTGCTCATGAAAGGCTTGGCAAACAGAAACGCCTCTCTACCCAACCACTGGGGCTTCTCATTACTGAGCTGCTTCCCCAATGTGGAAATCCGTCCCCTGGACTTGCAGGAGCTTTTCTCTGGGACTCCCCTTGCAGAGTGGTATTTGCAGGCTCAGCAGCGCTGGGAGCCTTATTTCTTACCCATCCTGTCTGACGCCTGCAGAATTGCCATCATGTGGAAATTTGGTGGCATCTACCTGGACACGGACTTCATTGTGCTTAAGAACTTAAAGAACCTCACCAATGTGCTTGGCACCCAGTCCAAGTATGTGCTGAATGGGGCCTTCTTGTCCTTCAAGCCCAAGCACAAGTTCATGGAGCTTTGCATGCAGGACTTTGTGGAGAACTACAACAGCTGGATCTGGGGGCATCAGGGCCCACAGCTCCTAACACGTGTCTTCAAGAAGTGGTGCTCCATCAGGAGTCTTAGGAGCAGTAGGAGCTGCAAAGGGGTGAGTGCTCTGCCACGGGAGGCTTTTTATCCCATCCGGTGGCAGGACTGGAAAAAGTACTTTGAAGTGGTCAGCTCCTCAGAGCTTCAGCACCTCTTCAAGAACACCTATGCGGTTCATGTATGGAACAAGAAGAGCCAAGGGACGAGGCTAGAGATCACATCCAAGGCTTTGCTGGCTCAGCTACATTCTCACTTCTGCCCTGCCACGTATGACATCATGAAGAAGGATGCTGGACGGCAGTGACTCAGGGGTTCAGCTAAGGATCATCACCTTGGAGCCTCAACCTTCCAGCTGTTCCAGCACAAATGAACCTTCTTGTGAACTGAGGCGGTGTGAGTTGAGAATAAAAGCCATTTGCATGGGGCAGAGGTGGAGCCCATAGTTGCAACCGACATACGTGCCGCGCTCTGTCTCGACTTTAACTGCCTGGCGGCAGCATTTTATTTCTGTGCAGGACCTTTCTGCTGCTCTGCTTTGTCGGATAGAGGCGTCTCAAGAGGGTAGTGAGGCCTGGGCCACTTGTGGCAGCCTCTCTCAGCCTTTGGGCAGGATTAAAGCCCCTTTCTGTGGCTGTAAACCCGGAAGGAGCCTTTGCAGAAATGCTCATCTCAGCCTCTGTCACTGATCAACTCTCAGGACTTCTCAAGGGCAGGCTCAAAGCAATGAAGGGGTGGGAGAGCAGAGAACAGGAGCTACGGAGGGAGTTAAAGATGTGCTAGAGAAGGTGGACTGAGAAAAATGAGGGGGAAGATGAAGAAGAACAAAAGGGGATGTGGCTAAAGCAACTCTTTTTTTTGTTTCTCTTCAGTTCCCTTCCCTTCTGAAGACCGTTTGGCGGAGGGGAGTTCCTCGTGCCCAGTTTGAAGAGGGTGCAGGATGCCAGAGTCTCTGCCTAGCATTGCAGATCTAAAGACCTGCTTGAAAATTTGGAGTATGTCAGAACTTGAGGATTTGGCTCATCAATTTGCAGGAACTTATGGCAGCAGCGTTTTATTTTGTAGTGGTGGTGAATTAACACCCTGTAAGGAGCAGGAGAGTTCATCCGAATCACACCTTAAATTGCACCCAACGCAGGAAGAGTTGAACTGTCTTTTACACTGGGTTTGTCTGCGTGACCAAATGCCCGTAACTGTGTCTAAGCTGCACCAGAGCTTTCAGCACTTGGACTGACCCCAGAGGGATGAGATGATATTTCCAGGTATTTGCAAGGATAGAGAGAGCTTGGTAGGGACCCTGTGCTAGCTACATTCAAGTTCGGGCACTGAGTTATTTATGGAGGACCTCTTCAAGTAGCCTGGAGCACTCCTGCAATTCCTGCACTCTCCAGGAGTACAGATCTCTCCTGGGAGTTCTCAAGAAGGGCAATGGAAAGCTTTATTCTTTTTCCCCAAGTATATTCCTGAACCGTGATGGAGAAAGTTAACTTATCTCTCTTACAGTCCTCTTGTGCCTTTGGGGGTTCCCACCACAAAGGCAAGTCTGTTGTACAAACTGTGGGAGAAACTCTGTCCCTTCCTTTAGTGCCCAAAGGGACGTACTGGTGTTCTTACAGTTCTTTGTTTGAAAATGATGAAGAAAGAGAAGTGATAAGCGAGAGTAAGGCAGAGGCTAGCAGCCTTGGCCCATCTGTACCCCACCACAGTCTAAGGGGGGATTGCTGAGGAATGTGAGCTTGGCACTGCCATGAGGTTGACGTGGATGAGCAGAGCATCAGCCATCCCCTCTCCTACACTGCTCAGAGATGATAATCTCACTGCAAAATCTTTTCTGCCTTCAGAGTGTGAGTCTTCGTACCCCTAGGAACAGCTGTGGGATGGTCCAGTGGCCCCTTTGATGACCAGGCATTGGTCAGCTCTCCAGTGTCACCTGTTCCTGAAGCAAGAGCTCTTTCAGTGGTGCTTCCTGCAAGTCCTCCAAGTGTGACTCAGATGATTTCTAGGACTGCAGTTTTCTCAGGCTTGTTTCCCTCTCTGTTCTGTTTCCTATCACATAGAAGCAATGTGAGGTTTGCTCAGCTTAGCCAAGCCAACAGGCAAAAAAGTAGATGTCTGTGCATGCAAGGACAAAATCTCTCTGTGTGTCTCAGGTTTATTTCCCTCTTCTTAGATGACAAAAATAATAAAGCCAAATTGCCTGTCACTTTTAGAAAACAATTCCCTGTCCCGCAGGGGACAGGGCTGTGGGTGCTTAGGAGAGCTTGCACCACTTTTTTTTTTTTTTGGTAAGTTGAGCTAGCTGGTATTGACCAAAGGCCAGTGCTGCTTGACTGGAAGTTATCCACCTGTGAGTTGTGCAGGGCGGACACTCGGTGCACAAGCAGCTACCCTGGAATAGGGAAGGTGCTGGGAACCACTGCCCCCACAACTCCTTTGCACCACATCTGTGCACGTGTGTAGTGCTTGTCCTTAGTTTTGCCCTGCTTTATGCTGTATCCTGGAGATAATTGGGATCTTGAACATCTGCAGCTCTCCCAACACTGAGCATTGTTAAGAACCAAGACTTTGTGGGGAAACAGCAAATCTTCCTGACCATCTAAGTGTGCTTCACCACACTATATGGTAAAAATGGATACTGTTTTCACTGTGTAGTCTTACTGTTGCTACTCTCTGTCTTTTTCACTGCTTTCTTTAGAAGCAGCTGCAAAACTGTCAGCCCTGACCTGGTGTGTAGTCAATGGGGCATGGTTTCTCTTTCTGCTGCTTCCTTCTGTTTTGGGACTTGTGCTGGCTAAACGACAGAAATCTCGGCAAGCTAGGAATCCCTGCCGGGGATGGTGAAGTGACGGTCGGTGATTGTAAAGGCATAATAACAGGAAATTTTATTGTGGCAATACCATGAACTGATTACAGAAGTGTTTGGGACCCACTTCAATGAATATCTGGCTTGATATACCACTGCTTATTCTAAGAAAGTGCCTTTTTGCATGTTTGTACTGTTTTTCTGTTGTTGTTGTTGTTGTTGTTTTTTTTCCCGGAGAGTCAGTATTCAGAGGTTTGATAAGGGGAGGATCAAACCAAAGCAGCCTGTGGCCTTTTTCCCTTTGCCTTGTGTGAGAAAAATAAATGCTGTTTTTTCCTATTTCTTCTTTCTACTAAGATGTTCCATTTTGTTCTGCGAGGCGTTGGTGGCAGCTCTGAACAATCTGCTAGTTATTATGCAGAAAACTGTTGTGAAGTTGTGTCCTCAAGTGACTCAGTAAAATTAGGAGTGTGCAAAGAACTTGGGGTGAGTTTGACATAAGCACAGGTGGCTTTGGGGGCCCTGGGTACCCGGGACTTGGGGGGATGGTGCAAGGAAAAGCACAGTTCTGGTTCCTAGTCCAACCAGGTGTCACCCCATCCGTCGCAAGCAGCTGTCTATCTAAAGTGAGCCATTTTGGTCTCACTCGGAAGATTTGGATGTTGTGGAATAGGAAACTCCATGAGTGATTGTGTTGCTTTTTACTCTGGGCGATGGACTAGACCTCCCCCTGGGTAGTGACAGTGCCTGTGCTCCTGTAGACCTAAAAGTGGAAAACTTGTACTGCTGCTATCTTTTCTTCCGCCTCCTCTTCAGAGCTTGGTCTAAAAGCCCTGGAGCCCAGGGGAGCATTTTGAGAGGCCGTGAAAGAACCAGTAGGCTCTGGTGTACAGAGGAGTTTTCTTGTGACACCCCCCCCCCCCCCCCTTGCAGGGAAGCAGCTTTCCCTTGAGGTATACAAATATTAAACCATTTGTACAACCACTAACTGCCTGTGCTTTCTTCATTGCCGACATGCACACAAGGATGATGGGAAGCAGTGAGAAGGTGCTAGCTGTTTCTTGCTCTGTCTCCTGTCCCCTTGAGCTCATGAAGGTGAGCTGGGGCCCAGGTGTGCAGTAGAGCAAGAAGAGAAGTTGGGGGTGGGGTTGGAGACACAGAGTAGGACAGTGCACAACAGAAGAGGAGTAAGGAAGGTTCAGTAATGTCATCCTGGACCTGGTCTCCTGGGAAGAGACTGAATGACAATCATGTTCCCCGTGCTGGCTGAGAGCGCTCCTGTGCCTTCATCACGTGAATGATGGGAGCTGAGGTTGGGCTGGGTCTGGTTTGTCCTCAGGAGAGAAAAGGAAAGACAAAGCTCTCCACATGCTCTGTTTGGAAATGCCATTTGTGAACAGCTGTACTCTGTTCTTTCATTTGTCCTTCAGGTCAATCTCTTTCTTAAGCATTTTTCGACTGTTCCTAACCTGCCCTGGGCTGTTGGTCTCTCTAGTGTCTTCTTTGCAGATGTACCTGAAACTCCAGATGAATAGACTTGGTCCCAAAGAGAAAACTACAGGATGAAGCTGCACCCGGCCATTACAGCTCAGGCTGAGAAGTCAACCTTTAACTTTCTGTATAATGTTGGAGCCAAACAGCAGCTGCCATGGCTAAGCACTCTGTTGGTAGATGTACGAGAAGCAAGAAAATACCTTTCATAAAGTGGAAACTTTTCCAGGGGGAAATTAGGCAGGCTCGTAAAATCTGGCAAGTTAAATATAAAAGTACCATAAGGCTGTTGAAAAAGTAGTTTGAAAAACAGTTTCCAAAAGCTACTAACAAATTTTCAAAAGGTGAAGCTGCTAACATTTTTCTTCTTTTTCCCAAACACAGAAAGAAATGGGACACCGGCCAGAGTGGTGGCAGTTCAGTAGGAGATGACGGATTGAGAAGGGAGTTCAGAGATCAAGCTGAAGCAGAACCAAAATAGATTTCTGTATCTGGTTATAAATGGGAGGAATTTGGGGTTTCTGTACATTGTAACCCCTCTTTGTTATGGATGTGTGCCGTAATCCCTTGCACATTACAGCGTTCATGGAACAGCTGTCAGGACTGCATGAATAGACAAATGATGGGACCTGATGGGAGGCGTGAGTGCTGAGGGAGCTGGCTGATGTCACTGGGAGGCCACTCTTTTTTATCTTTAAAGGTCATGGAGATCAGGGGAGGTGAAAGGAAGCAAACGTCACCCCATCTTGCTGATCTTCAAGATGGGCAAGAAGGAAGATCCAGGGAATTACAGTGTCACTTTGATCCCTGGGAGGGTAATGTAGCAAATCCTCCTAGAAGCCATTTCCAAACATATTAAGGACAAGAAGGTGATTGGGAATAGTCAGCATGGATTTATGAAGGGGAAGTCATACTTGACCAACCTGATAGCCTTCAATGAGGAAATGACCAGCTTGGTGGATGAGGCGACAGCAGCGGATGTCATTTATCTCAACTTTAGCAAGACTTTTAACACTGTCTTCCATAAGATCCTCATAGACAAGCTGATGAAATGTGGTCTGGATACATGCACAGTGAGGTAGATCGAAAACTAACTGAACTTTTGGGCTCAAAGGATTGTGATCTGCAGCAAAAAGTCCAGTGGAGGCCAGTGGCGTCTCCCAGGGGTTGATAATGGGACCGATATTGTTTACCATCTTCATTAATGACCTGGATGATGGGACAGTGTGCACCCTCAGCAAGCTGGCAAATGATGCAAAACCGAGAAGAGTGGTAGATACACAGGATGATTGTGCCACCACTCAAAGGTCCCTCGACAAGGTGGAGAAGTGGGCTGACAGGAATCTGATGAAGTTCAGTAAAGGGAAATGCAAAGTCCTGCATGTGGGGAGGAATAACCCCATGCGCCATTACATGCTGGGGGCCAACAGACTGGAAAGCAGCTTTGCAGGGAAGGACCTGGGCGTCCTGGAGGACAACAAATTGGACATGAGCCAGCAATGCACCCTCACAGCAAAGGCGGCCAACAGCCTCCTAGGCTGCATTAGGAAGAGTGTAGCCAGCAGGTCGAGGGAGGTGATCCTTCCCCTCTACTCAGCATGGCACTAGGTGGCATGGCCACCTCTGGAGTACTGGGCCCATGTCTAGGCTCCCCAGAACAAGAGAGACATGGACTTGCTGGAGTGAGCGCCATGAAAGGCCACAAAGATGGTTAAGGGACTGGAGGATCTGATATGTGAGGAGAGGCTGAGAGAGCTGGGACTGTTCAGCCTGGAGAAGGGCAGGCTCAGTGGGGATCTTATCAATGTGTATAATAAATGATGGGGTGAAGTGAAGAAGACAAACCAGACTCTTCTTAGTGGTGCCCAGTGACAGGATGAGCAGCAATGGGCACAAATTGAAACACATGAAATTTTACTTAAGCCTAAGAAAAAACATTTTTGGTGTTGAGGTGGTGAAACACTGGAACAGGTTGACCAAAGAGGCTGTGGAGACTCCCTCCTTGGAAACACTCAAAACCTGACAGCACAAAGCCCTGAGCAACCTGCTGTAGTTTAGTTTGTTTTGAGCAGGGCATTCAGACTAGATGATCTCCAGAGGTCCCTTCCAACCTCAACTCTTCTGTGATTCTCTGACTAGATGGTACTTGTCTCAAGGTCTGGAGAGCTCCAACGATGAAATAGCTGGGAACAGCTATAGGTCCTTTCATAAGAACTTCCCCATTGTTGGCATCTTATTAGTCAGTCTGTGGGGTTGCAGCGTTTAGAAGGATTTGCGGCAGGGGAGAATGAGTCTAGGAAGCTTCAGACCAGTAGGCCTGACATTTTTTGCAATTAGCTGAATGGAAACTGTAGTAAACCCTAAACTTCGCGGATGTATGCATAAAGGTGGTATTTTGTGAACGAGTCAACATGGCTTTTCTAAGAGAACATCAAGCATCCAGCACGCACAGGGACAAGAGGGTACTCTATAATTAAATAAAGGCCACCTGAATTTGGAGAAGTCATTCAATGAAGTATCTGGCATAAGAGGGAGGATTCCCAAATGGATGTATGATCGGTCAGAAGAAGCATGTGTTCAAAGGTGTATCCAGGACTGGGGTCTTGGCGTGAGAGTAAGGAGTTTCTCAGCTCAGTTCTTGTGAGAGCCTCCCAGACAGTGTGAACACTGGGAATTCTTAGCAAAGGAGTAGAAAACAAGACAGCCGCTGGTTTCCTGCCACAATATAAAACTTATCAATAGTGGACTGCCTGTCGCCTCTTCTTCTCCTCTCTTCTCAGCTCTGCTCTGCCCTGCTCTATTTGTAATTAGATGAGTTCTTCAGTTTGGTTCACACCACAGCTGCATAACCCATATATCAGCCACCATATTAGATGAACAGATGATATCAGATCCTCTTTGATTAGCTTATTTTCTCCATGATTTCAGACTGCCACCTTTCACCATTTCTTTTGACAAAAAGGAAGTGCAAGAGTACAGATATATAGGCACTCTCAGAGAGAGAGAGACCTCTTCAAAATCCTGTTCAGCCAAGCAGTGACCACTGTACCATCTCAGAAGCAGAAAAAGGTAAGTAGTATTTGCAGTTTCTGTGCAGCCGGACTTGTGTTTTCAGAGAAATGTAGAGCTAAACTTCTTGTGTATGTTATGTGACAGAAATGCACTGGCTCTAACATGTTCTTTTATCTCCTACAACTGTAGAAATTTATTTCTAGATATGTAGAAGTGTGACTATATCAGAAGTTCCTCCTCTTACTAAAAATCTGTGTGTAACCTTGAGGTTTGCTCACTCTTAGATCAGAGCTGTGCTTTTCTGCCTTCTCTACAGCAGAGGTTGTCTCCCCTCAGGCCTGCTTTCTCTTCTATAGCTTACTAAGCTAAAAATGGTTTACAGGTTCCATCAGGATATAATGTGGAGAGAGAGAGAAATGGGTGTGTAAAAGGCAGAGTGCTTTTTCTGTCTGTAACACCCACAGTATGTGTTGGCGTTTTTCTGCAGGAGAAGCAAATGTTCTGGGAACCCAGGGATGATGCTTTGTGTATCAGCTGCCTCTCTGTCCCCAAAGTCCCGGTGCACGTGGAGAGCGGTGGCTCCATGCTGTTGCATTTAGAAACCTGCCAACGGAGGCTACAGCTCATTTGCTGGCTGTGTGGAGGGTGTCCTAGTGAGCCAGTCCTAGTAACCAGAGGTGGATGACTGATGGGACAGTACGGGTTGGGTTTTCAATCTACTCCCCCTTCTCTTTGGTTACATAGTAAAGGTTTTTGTGTTTCCTGAAGCTCTCTCTTCTGGGACATGGATATGGTCCATCCCCCTTTGGATTCAGAGAAG